ACCGGGAATTTTGGAACCTCGCCTCTTAGGAACCGGGATTTCCCTCTTTTTTCGGTACTAACTAATTTTTGTTCAATGATGGTAAAGTTCAGCTAATGGAATGGGTTTTGAGAGTAAAATCGATAAAAAATTGAGATTTTTCATTCATTTCATGAAAAAATTTACATGAACACAACTTAACGATGGGTAACTTAAGTGTTACATCAAACAACATAAATCAATTTAACTAAATTTGAAAAAATATATTTTTTAAATATAAAATGCAAATATCTATTTAAACATAACATAAAATACAAATTTAATTGAAAAAAAAGGCGTTAGCGATGGCTATGAAATGAACATCGCTGTCTATACCTATTTAAAATTATATGGGGAATGTCAACGATCGTTCCAAGCCAACTGGGCGGCGTTTTTTCGATCATACGGTATAACCAGTGATGGGCGGTGGGTAAATATTCAAAGGGTATAATAAAGAAATTTGGGTTACCTATATATGTAGTAAAAGTTGGAAATTAGGGATTGTTAACAATTACTAGTAAAAGCTAACCCCCATTCATTGATTTGCTAAGTTCAAGATTGTAATAGTTCAACAGATATTTTTTAAACCAACTTTTACTACTTACTACTAGCCTTACTAGTGAATTAGTGAATGCTAGCATTCCCTGAACGATAGCAGTGAGTTTGAAAGATTCAGTTAGCGCGGTTGCCACATGTTGTAAAATATAAAAATAAATAAGGATAAGTTGAATAATAGGCAATATAAAAATAACATTAAATTGGGCTAAACGTTGGCAACGTTGACAGAAATCTGGCGTAAATTCTCTTTGTTTTTTTTGCGGTTATGTATAATTTGTGATCGTTGTAAAAAGTACTGTGCGGTATTTTTTCTATGGAAGAAATTGTCTATGAAAAATTAAGGTAAATGGTAAACTAGGCACTCGCAAGAATGTAATAGTGCCTGTTTTTCATTTTTGCAATATAATGAAGCCATAGCAAAAGTTAAGCGTGCAAGAGAAAAATGTATTAAGGAACCTAGTGACTATGAACTTATTAAACGTTTTCATATGCTTGAAGTAGCGGGTTTGAAAAAACGAATAACTCCCGTTGAAGAAAATTCGGGCATACTATATTTTGCCTACGATGAAGACCTTTATTAAAAAAACTTGCACCAATAAGTAATCTTAGGTTTATGAATGTTTTACTAGGTTTTCCCTTTTAATATTTAGGAGGTTATGTCGATATTTCCTATAATATAATTTTTAATAAATATTCTAAAGAAGTAAATTGTAATTTTAAGATAATGTGGATCAGCTTGAATATTGAGGCAATCCAATATTCTTAAAAGTTTTATTTGTTCTAACTTCCACCAACATTCTTCTTCACTAGGGTTGCCACCTTTTTGCAAATAACAAAAAAAGAACATTGGACTATGAAAAAAGACCAGGGGGGGGGGTGCTGTTGATTGCGAACCACCGATTATAAATCGCTACTTTAAAATTTTGAAAAACTAATTTTAAGATCAAATTGGTTAATAATAAATCCTAAACTATCATTTGAGATTAAACAGGGAGTTCTAAATAATGTTGCGCATTCTAAACAATAGTATATTGTTTTATTATGAGTAAAAATGATACATTTTGTGGCGAGGCTGACGACATACAGGCGAAGCACAAAAAATTATTTTTACTCCGAATAGAACGTGATATTTTGTTTCAAATATTACATATAATTTTTTAAACAATTTCAAACGTTGAAAATAATATAAACATATTTAAAAGTAATACACTTTATGTCAGTTTAATAATATACTTTCGTACTTTTGTGCTTAGGCGTTAAAAGAACTTTTTTATATTGCAATCAACTTCTCAAAAATTAATACTTTTCTGACTTTTGAAAAAAAAAACATTTATTAATAAATTTTATAACATGTCTAATTAAATTTGGACGAAAGAATTATTACTGGTTGCTGTGGATAATTTTCCCAGGAAAAATGCGTAAATAAATAAAAGGACATTTTAGGACAAAAAAAGCCAAAAGGACAATTTGTTCCAAAAAAGGACTGTCGTTTTCAAAAAAGGACAGGTGGCAACCCTATTCCTCATCACACAATAGAATAACTTTTACTGACAACCTTTAGTAAATGTTACTTTCACTAGTGAATGTTAGAAATTACTAGAAAAAGTCGACAAATCTCTTTAAAATACCACATTCACTGATCCCATACGTAATTGCTAACATTTTCTAGTGGATGTTAACGATCACGGAATTTCCGACTTTCACTGTAACATATAAGTACATATACGAATTGAGATAATATTTCATCGGGGAACCCCTCTGTAAAATTCGGTTATTCATCTATTTGAACGGATTGAACTGTCTGCGTTGTGCTGTATTTTTGATACAATTAGGGCTATTGTGCTATTGTGCAGTTTTTGTGGAATAAATTCTGGCATTTTTGGCACGTATAAAGTCGATATGACATTAAAAAATAAATTTGAAGGTGGCATGTTTGTTATTCCAATCAGGACCGAATTACTTTTTCGATTAATTTGTATTTTTTTTATCTTTCATAACTCCAAAAAGTCTAGAAGCTATAGGCATAGAAAGAAAAAAATCGTAGAGGCTATTGAAAATAATCAATTCCTTTCATTATAATGAATTTTTTAAAAAGTTTCAAATATTTTTTTCGGCTCAACTTTCGTTTAGCTGAAATCTGTTATATAAAAAATAACTTTATATATGCTTTCTAGTAGGCGTTAGGAGTACAAATATACAAAAATTTTCGAAATGCGAAATGCGTCATTTTCATTTTTCGGACTTTAGTATAACCGAAATCTGTTACATCAAAACTAGTCTTCGGGGTGTGTTTTAGACATTTTTCTAAACATAAAAACACAAAAAAGTGTCTGCGGAAATTTTTTATTTTTATTTTATATAAAAAAAATCGGCGCCGGGAGGCACGTATAGCCGCCCATACAATATGTTAATAAAAAGTTGGTAGGCAGGCTCTTTTAGTTTCAAAGTAAAGGAATTTTTCCAATTTTTTTTTATCTCAAAAACTGCGACTTTGACTGGTTTTGATGTTATTACAAATTTTGATGCAAATATTATTTCTAATCTTAAATTGAAAACCGCGTTTCGCTAGCTACTGTAATTTTGGAGTTACGATTTTTTAAAATTTTTAACCCCCTCCCATACCCCCTTACCAACCACCCCCACCAAAAACTAATGACCAGATTCTCGGGTGCCACAGTATTTTTGTGCCAAATTTGGTTAAAATCGGTTTAGCGGTTTTTGAGTTATCGTGTTACAGACGGACAGACAGACAGACACCATGAAAATATTTTGTATTTAGGTCATTTATGGTTTATGACCCAAATAACTCATTTTGAGTGAAATTAGAAAAACTTTTTTTTTGCCGATCTTAATAGCCTACCATACCTATTGGTATGGTCGGCTAAAAATGCTTTGACTTTAGAATAGCCGAAATCAGTTACATGAAAAATTAACTTATATTTGTTTTATACGAGCCTTTACGAGCAAAGAAATACAAAAAAAAAATCTGCGGAAATGCGTCAATGTCATTTTGTGCACTTTGTTTTTCATACATTTTTCAGTTTAGAAGCTTACGGGACCCGGGAGCGAATAAGGGTGCTGGGTGGGGTAAAACATCTTTCGGAGGAATAACAATTCTTGTAGATAGTATATTATAGGTTCTTGTAAACCCTATAAGTACCTCGGAATGTTGCACTTATTCTTGTTTTTTATTAAAGCTTTACGTGCCTAAATAGGGCTGATTCAAAACAGAAAATCATTGGATCATGCAGTTTTCTTTTATATTTTAATGATTAACTGTGATTTTGTAAAAATATTAGATTGGTTAGCATTCGGGTTGTTTTGGTTAGCTTTTCATTGTGGAGGGTGTTAAGCTGTGGTTTTTATATTTTAATAATTAACTGTGATTTTGCAAATATATTATTAGATTTATTATTAGATTGGTTAGCATTTTAGACTTTATTAAATGATTTTCTTTGTTGGAAAGTGATAAGCTGTGGTTTTTATATTTTAATAATTAACTGTGATTTTGTAAAAATATTATTAGATTTATTATTAGATTGGTTAGCATTTTAGACACTATTAAATGATTTTTTTTGGTTCAAAAGTGATAAAAAGATAATTTTTTATGTATTTATGCTTACAAAAATGGAAAATGAAAATCAAGCATTTCCGCAGGAAATTTTTTATTTTCTTGAGTTTGTAAACGCTTCTAAAAGGCAAAAATATATTTATTTTTTATGTATAACTGATTTCAGCTATTCTAAAGTCTATTAAATTTCCTCAGAAAATGGATACAGTTTATTTCCGCAGGAAAATTGTTATTTTCCTCAATTCGTGAATGCTTCTAAAAGGCAAAAATATATTTATTTATTATATAACTGATTTCAGCTATTCTAAAGTCTAATAAATTGCCTTAGAAAATGAAAACAGCTTATTTCCGCAGGAACATTTTTGTGTTTATATGTTCAGAAAAATACTAAAAATAAAACGCAAAATGTATTTTTTTTATAGCAGATTTCAGTAATTATAAAGTGCGAAATTTGGAAATTACGCATTTTCGCAGGAAAATTTGTGTTTTCCGTGGTTCACAGTAGCTTTTTAAAGACAATTTTTTTTTCTAATAACTGATTTCAGCTAAACGAAAGTTGACCCTTTTTTTCTGTAAAACAAAATTTTATTTCACTTTTATTTAGGATTTTTTAAAACTTACATGGGATTTTCTATTTTCAGGTCGGCGATGGCACAGACGTATATCTGATTGATTGGAGCCGCTGTTTTTTTCATTAAGGTTTCTTTATTGTTATTATGCATTTTATAATAATTTTCGCTTACACCCGGTACCTACTACGGGTAAATTCTGCCTACTTTTTTCACTTCCCCGGTACTTATCTACCTTTACAAAGTCTCCTAATTATATAACGATAGCATATGCAGTATCCAGTACAGTTAGACACCTTTACGCGCTTGTCTACCGGCCTTCCCATTGGTCGAAATCGTTCAGGTACGACAAACCAAACCAGTCGACGTTCAACAGTCGTTCTAGGTTCGAATCACCACGCGAAACACCTGGTTGGGCCCCATTTTGGACTCCACTAAAGCCCGAAAATACGCCAATTTATTTTCTACAAAAATTCGTACGTTGTTTAGTGTTTTATCGTCGGTTCTGTAGTGTTTTTTTCGTGGTTAGTGTTCCAGGTACGACTCCCAAGGTCGTACATTCTCAGGTGTGCTGAATAACGGGGTGTTCGAACAGGTTGTTGTTATTCTGTCCTCTCACGTGGCAACAAATATGGCTGACTCTTCCACTACAGTACTATCCGGTACAACAAAAAAATATTTACATTAAATCCAGGCGAAAGAGAATGAGGACTGATAGAGGTTTTAGAGGAAATAAGAGTACCTAGAATGAGTATCAAGGGGCTGAACATGATGGGGTCCCCTAACCACGTGTGCGTACTGTATTTAGCAACGGCAGGGCTTCAGGGTGCTCTGATGGGGTCTGATGAACAAGAAATAGTGCTCTTAATTTATGTGATAGTGGATGTTATACAGAATAAGGTAAAAATAATCTCTTCTCCAAATTTATTTAAATTAAGTTTGTGTTGATTCGCAACAAAATACGGGGTTTTGTATCATTTGCACTATGTTTGATCATCGTGTAACATAAATAAACTAGTAAATTTTACCGTTATATATAGGTAGATTGTTTAAATTTAGATTAGGTAAAGAATCGAAAATAGCGTTTTTCGCTGTTGTTAGTAAACAAAAAAGATGTTCTCTAAAATTTTTATTAATTCATATATTAATATAAATAAATTATTTTAAAACCTATATGTAATACTGGAATGGTCTAAAATGCTCTTTGTTTGGTTAATTTTTAATTTTTTCAACTTTTTTTGGTAGATATTAAGTATAAAATAATTGAATTTTGAACTGATTGCTTTGAAAAATCGTCTTCACAATTATGCCAATTATACCAAGTATCTAGATATAGGATATACTTACTTTCAAATAATTCTTATTATTAAACGAAAACATGCTTTTTAAATCTCTTATTAGACGTTTGTATTTCATTCAGATTTTAAGCGCATAATATTTGAAGAATGCGGTAGAGAATCCAAGTGACAGACTGCCATTTGCTTTTGAGGTTATGTCTGAACCGTTATTTTAAGTTTTTGCCTTCATGATGTGCCATTTTCTCTTAGCGAGTCTAGTGATGTTTCTGTTGATATCTGCAGAGTATGAAAAATTCTTTCAAATATGCATTATTCTGCTTGGTTAATTTTTGTCTTTCTTTTATTATTTTTTATTTTTTTATCTTTTTTTTTCAAAAATAGTGTTAATTTATTTAAGTATTTGAAATAAAGTTTTGGTAAATTTTAAACAGTTAGGTACTTACAATATAATGCTCTTTTTTTAATTTCTTTATGAATGAATATTGGTTTATTACCGTTAGAAAAAGATAACTTCTAAGTATAGATTGTCTCAAAATGTCTTTTGAATAAGTATTTATTCATTGGTTGGTTGTCTTTGTTTTGTTTTTTTTATACTTGGTTGATTTTTGTCTTTCATTTATTATTTTTTATTTTTTTAATCTTTTTTTTTTCGAAAATGGTGTTAATTTATTTAAGCATTTGAAATAAAGTTTGGTAAATTTTAATTAGTTAGCTACTTATACAATATAATGCCTTTTTTTAATTTCTTTACGAATGAATATTTGTTTATTACCGTTAGAAAAAGATAACTTCTACATAAGTATAGATTGTCTCAAAATGTCTTTTGAATAATTATTTATTCATTGGTTGGTTGTCTTTCTTTTGTTTTTTTTATTCTATTTTTTTTGGAAAAACGGTGTTAATTTATACAGAGGGTGTTTCAAAAAACATGTGCCCCACTGATTTTTTTCTTTTGTTAGCAAAATTGTACAAGTTGTTTAATGCCGATTAAAAGTTGAATCTTTATATTTTTCCTTTTCGATCTCTTTAATGAGATAAACGCAAATTTTATTAATAAAATTAAATTATAATAATTCTTCTTCTAATTCTAAATTCTAACACTTTGGCCAGTTAATAACGTTAAATTTTTTTAAAGGTTGCTGTTAGTTTTGGATTAAGGCAAATTAATAAAATTGTGTCTATTTCATCAAGGAGACTGAAATCGACAAAATATCAAGAGACAACTTTTAATGAGTAAATGGCCTACTAAGCTGTGTTAAAAAAAGCTCTTTTCTCTGACGCATAGTTTTTTTTGAGAAAAATATTTCAGTGATAACCCATATGCACGTCCCTGGAGAATCTATCGTCACTTTCTTAGCATTAAAATATGTCACTTGGAAAAAAATTATAATAAATCCAAAAAAAATGAAGATTTTAACACCCCCTAGCTACGAAATAAAGCAGTATAGGTCCTATGTTGATATAAAAAGTAAATATTATTTTTACATGAGGAATCTCCCCACGAGAGATGGTAGATGTTTTTTGAAACACCCTGTATAAAATTTTAACTCAAACTTGTCTATACATATATTTAAATAAATATTTTTTCTGTTAAAATAAAAATTAGTTTGATATTAATTTTAAATTACCAAACTATAAAGATAAAACATGTTTTAGACATCCTTTGTGCTTGTAGAACAGGTTAATAATATAAATAATTTACTAGACAATCTATACTTAGAAGTAATCTTTTACTAACGGTAATAAACCAATATGCATTCATATAGAAATTAAGAAAACGACATTATATTGTATCAGTAATAACCCGTTTAAAATTTACTGAATTTTATTACAGACACTTATTGATGTAATGCCAATAATTATTTTCTCTATTTTGAATAATTGCTATTGTTAATTTTATTAAATAATTAAAATAAATAAGTTATAACTGGTACCAGGTACTTTCAACTATTTCTAATTTGTTTCTATATAACAAATAAACATAAAAATCGTGTTCTAAATTTGTTCTGCATTACCATAATTAACTACTTTCATCCCACAACACACTTGAAAGATATAAATATAAAAACGTCTCTAAATATTATTGGTGTAAGGCGCTATCCTATAGTTGTCACTTAATATATGTTAAATGGTGTTGTTTTTCTTACTGCCACCAATAGGAAAAGTTGTTTTAAATTAGCTGACGAATGAGCATTCGTTTGAGACTGTTCGGGAGCCACCTTCTTGTAAAACGATGAAAACACATTTTCGGTGTCAAATTTCACCAGTGGCGCGCCACCTAACTAAAAAAGTCGTCCAATTTAGTGTTATATGTAATGAAATATATCTTCTTGGACTGCCATTGTTTTTAATTTTAGAATTTTACTTTTACACAATGTTTCGGTCAGCGATGTACCTACTACTGATCCTTATCGAGAGTAAGGAACCCATCGTTAGACCGTTGATTGAAAGAATTGGGAAGATCAGCAACCTAATGGGCGATTTCTCCAATTCGGCTAGCAAAGGCATATCAAAAACGGTGTGGAACTGAAAGCGACAGTGTTGCCATATTAAAATGTGTAATATCTGTATACGTTTGACGAAAATATCTTTGGATGGAAAATCCGCGTTTACCTATATATTGAAAATTTATTTGTGTTAAACATAGAATAAATAACAGAAATAAAAATTCTTTTATAGGTACTGATTATTTTGTATGATCGAAAAAAGTCGTTTAGTTGGCTTGGAAATGACGAATTATTGACATTTACCATAATATTTTACACACATTTACTTTGTTTAATTATATAATATTATATTAAATTGTTTAATGATAGAAAATCCGTATTATTAACGTACTTTTACAAAATATGTAAATTTACGGATTAATCCGTAGTTCTGGCAACGCTGTCTCCGGCAACCACTCACTCTGCCGAGTGAAAGCATGCAGCGGCGCAGAGCTAAACTAAATCTCGGACAGGCTGACGGTAACGCCAGCTACTATCTTCTTATTTCTTCAATCAACGGTTAGACTATCATTTTGGGCATAAAACTTATCTTTAACTTGAAAGTAAGAGCTCTGCAAACAGCAGCTCAAGGGCTCCTCTACACCTCTAAGTGAAGATAGCGAAGTTCCTTCGGAAACCATAACGTCGTCCCCGAGGGAAACGGTAATACAAAGGGACGTCAATACAAATTTTCTGCGACAAAACTAACGAACTTCACAAAAAGCACTAGAGGTAGCTATTCGAGCTGCTTTGCGCTTTTGTACCTGTGTTACCTTTTATATTTTGCGTATAGAAGTAGAAAAAAATTGTGTGTGCACTATGATTACAGTTGGGGGTTGGAACCTCATTTGGTGTTAGACAGCAAAATAAAAGACTAAATCACCAGAATACTCCAAAACACTTTTACTTTTTCACTGGACGCGTGTTTCGCTACCCATGTTAGTATCATCAGCAGATGATTAAGATTGTGTGAGTTTAGTCTTAATATCAGATTTGACATCATTGGCTCATTTGCGTTGGCGTGTAGTTTCACTCCAAAAAAGCAGAAAAAGATTGTTAAATAAATAAATATCTCTATTTACTATTCTCTACTACTATCATATCATAAATAGAAGTTAAAGGACTAATATCATGAAATTTAACATCTACAGAAAAAAAAACAAATATAACAGTACAAAGTCTGCCAACGAGAGGGTGCGACAGTTGTGTCTGCGACTTTAATTCATATACCGATTTGGTTATTTTAGAAGCGTGGTCTGGATTTTAACGTGTAAGACAGTGATGTAGGCAGCTTAATGGAAAATCAAATGTATTAAAAAGAGATAAAAATTGGGTTGATACATTTTTTCTATTTTCTAAACCGCACAAGTAGGCGTTTATGGAAAATGTTGCATCTACATCTAGGGTTGGAACCTTATTTTTCACAATTAATTATTGACTTATTTTACTACAGATGTAATAGATTATATTTAACTTAGATATATTATCTTCATTTCAGTAGTATACAGGGCGAGTCTTAAATAAGTGCAAACATTTTTAGAGGTACTATGTTTTGACCCCATAAACACGATTATGGTTTTTTTCGCGCAAAAAAAAAATTTGAAAATACGAAATTTTCGGAAAAAAATGGATTTTTTAGTTAAAAAACATAATTTCTTGATAATATGACAAGCTAGGTAGTAGACTAAATTTACAAGAAAGAAAAGCCAGAAAAGATTCAGTGGTTTTCAAAATTTAAGCAAAAAATATATTTTTTTTATTTATAGAGTAAAATAACTCGGTTATTTTGGACTTATTTGAGAAACGGTAAAGAGAAAATATGTTTCTTTTATCGAGATCTACCGGCCCTGAAAATATTTGCACTTATCTAAAACTCACACTGTACATGAAAGTTTTTAAAATAGTTTATTTTTTTTTTCTATACAAATTTTACTATAAACGTAAAAACCGGCAACATTGTATGCGGCTTTTGATTTTGTCTCTCTGTCTGTCAAACGGTCATTTATATTATTCTCTGTCTTAAAAATCCAGACCAAACTTCTAAAAAAACCAAATCGATATAGTCAAATAATTGTACTTTCTATCATTTTTTGTATATTGATTTGTAATTTTTTTT